ACCTCTTCCAATCTCCCCGTAAAATAGCTAAGAAGACGAAGATTAAAAGAAAAAAAAAACTCCATCCAAACATTTAAGACTAATGTTGCTAATCCAAGGCTTGAAACTCCCAGGAATTTTTTGAACCCCCAAGAACCAACAGAGGCTCAGGAGTGGGGGTGGGGGAGGATGACATCAGTGGCCCATCTACGCTCTACACCCCCACCCCCACATAGATATTAAGAACTCTTCTTCAGTCCATTAGCAATTAAACTGAAAGGTCAGTGCCAATCGTAGAAATCGAGTCCGCTTGACTTCGCAACCGGTTTGCTGGTCTGTTTTGAGACAGGCATCGGTGGCGACCTCCCCGGCGGGGAAGACCCGCTTCTTTCCGTCTTCACTAAGAAACTACAACTCCCAGGAGACGCCTGGGCAGGGATGGGGGCCAGGAGGAGGTGAAAGCAGCGTGTCTGGTGCCCAAGCGTGGCCTTGGCGCCACCCCACCCTGCCCTAACGTCACTCTCCGGGAAAAGCACCTGGGAGGCTTGTCTGTGCAAGGGGCAGGGGCTCAAGAAACCTCGCCCGTGCGCTGGTGCTGAAGGGACCGCTTGAAGACGCACTCCGGTGGGTCGACAGGGGCGAGGAGGAGGGTTATGCGAGAGCCGGCAGATGCCAGCGCCCGGGACCCCAGCAAGCCTGCCAGCTCAGGCAACCCGGGGATGCCCGCGAGAAGGCCGACGTCAGCGGCCACACCCGAAAGGGCAGTCCCCACACGCGCCAGCCAGAACGTTCAGGGGCCACAGTTTGCTTCCACGGTGGCAGACGAATGAGATTTAAAATGGAACGTTCACACCGGGAAGTGTCATTGCCCGTGGGAATAACTGTCAGTGCACTGTGGCTGCCTCCTCACCAGTTTCAGAAGCGTCATGAAAGATAGTTAACTATGGCGTTCACTATGTCAGAAACATGGAGCGTATAAAACAGTCTCTCCCCATCTCCCACTGAAATAGCTAAGAAGACATGGAGAGTAAAAGAATAATAATAATAATAAAAAAATCCACCCAAACGTTTAAGACTGATGTTGCTAATCGAAGGCTTGAAACTCACAGGAATTTTTTGAACCCACAAGACCAATAGAGGCTCAGGAGTGGGAAAATAACCTACAGCTATTTTCTTAACAGAAACACGCCTAGAATGGTGTAAGCCAATTTTTAAAAGTTTGGCATTTCCTCAAAAGGTTAAACATTGCGTTCTCATATGACTGAGCAACTTCACTCCTAGGTATATACTCAGCAGAATTGAAAACATAAGATGCCTATGATAAAACTTGTACAGGAATGTTCATAGCAGCATTATTCACGATAAGGGTAAGTAGAAACAACCCAAATGGCCATCGATGGAGAATGGGTAAACAAAATGTGAATGTGAATATATCACATTTTGTATCACATTCCATACACTAGAGTATTACTCAGTCATAAAAGGGAATAAAGTACTAATACATGGCACAGCATGAATGAACCTTGAAAGCATTATGTGTAGTGAAAGAAACCAAACACAGAAGGTCACATATTGTATGATTCATTTATATGAAATGACCAGAATCAGCAAAACCAGGGAGTTAGGGGATAGAAGAGGGTAAGGGGGTGACTGTGAACAGGCATCAGGTTGCTTTTTGAGGGAGAAAAATATTCTAGAATTAGGTAGTGGTGATGGCTGCATATCTTGAAATATACTAATACTCATTAAATTGTACACTTTAGGTGAATTTTATGGTATGTGAATTGTATCTCAATAAAGCTGCTATAAGAGAGAAAGAAATATTCACCAAATGTTAGTGCAACATCTTTTGTAAAGTATGGCCAGAGATACCAATTTTTTTTTTCTGAGGCATAATCTTGCTCTGCCACCCCAGCTAGAGTACAGTGACATCATCATAGCTCACAGCAATCTCAAACTCCTAGGCTCAAGAAATCCTCCTGCCTCAGCCTTCCAGAGTTCTAGGATTATAGGCATGAGCCACCTTGCCCAGTCCAGAGGTTCCAATTTTTATTTCAACTTTTTGTTTTTGTCAAATTTTTGCCTTCTAATGGCAGCTATTACTTAATCAACTGAAGCTCTGGAGTCAGACAGACTGTATTCAAATCCAGGCTCCTTCAGGATAAAGTTCGTAGTCTTGGGCAAGTCACTTAATTTTTCTAAGTCTCAGGCCAGGCATGGTGGCTCACACCTAAAATCCCAGCATTTTGGGAGGCTGAGGCAAGAGGATCCCTTGAGGCCAGGAGTAATGTTAGAGGCCAGGTGTGGTGACTCATGCCTATAATCCCAGCAATTTGGGAGACTGAGGCAAGGGGATTGCTTGAGTGCAGGAGTTTGAGGCTTCAGTGAGTTATGATTGTGACACTGCAGTCCAGCCTTGGTGACAGAGTGAGACCCTGTGTCAGAAAAAAGAAAAAAAATGGTATGAAGCACTTAGCTCAGAACCTGGCACATTAGTAAGTGCTCAAGAAATATCAGCTGCCGTTTTTGTTATTAAAAATATGTCAAAAAGTTCATGGAGAATGAGTATTATGAAAAAACTATGCATAAATTTTGAAATTTTTTTTTGCACCAAAATGAATTTGTACTAACATGTCTCAACAGGATCTAGTTTGAGTCACTAAGAAAGATAAGGCATCAGTTTTAAAAAAATAGCCCCTATCAGAGCAACATGAATTCTGCTAAAATTGAAGCAAAAACAAATGTCAAATTTATGGTGAAGCTTGGGTGGAAGAATGGCGAAACCATTGATGCTTTATGAAAAGTTTATGGGGACAATGTCTCAAAGACATCATCAGTTTACAAATACATAACTTGTTTTAAGAAGGGACCAGGTGATGTTGAAGAGGAAGCCTACATAGGCAAACCATCCACATCAATTTGCAAGGAAAAAATTAATTTCATTCATGTCCTAGTTGAAGAGGAATAATAATTAACAACATAAGCAATAGCCAACACCATAGACATCTCAATTGGTTCAGCTTACACAAGTCTGACTGAAAATTAAAGTTAGGCAAACTTTCTACTGGATAGGTGCCAAAACCACTGTGCCCAGATCAGCTTCTGACAAGAGCAGAGTTTTCAATGGAAATTTTAAACAATGCTGAAGCATTTCTTTGAAGAAGTGTATAAAATATAATCCGGAAGCCAGAGAACAGTCAAAGCAATGGCTACCAAGGGTGGAAATGGTCCAGTCAAAGCAAAACAGACTGGTCAAGAGCAAAGGTCATGCATGATAATAGTTTTTGGGATGCTCAAAGTATTTTGCTTGTTGACTTTCTGTAGGGCCAAAGAACAATAACATATGTTTATTGTGAGAGTGTTTTGAGAAAGTTAGCCACAGCTTTATCAGAAAAACACCCAGAAAAGCTGCAACAAAGAGTCCATCATGACAATGCTCATTTCTTTCATCAAACAAGAGCAATTTTATGAGAGTTTTGATGAGAAAAGCATTAGGCAGTCACCTTACAGTCCTGATTTGGCAATTTCTGACTTCTTTTTGTTTCCTGATCTTAAAAAGTCCATAAAAGGTATCCATTTTTCTTTAGTTAATATTGCAAAAGAGACTGTATTGACATGGTTAAATTCCCAGGACCCTCAGTTCTTTATGGATAGACTAAATTGTGGGTATCACAAGAGTGTCTTGAACTTGATGGAACTAATGTTTAGAAATGAAATTTACATTTTTGTCTTTAAATTTAATTTTTACATGAACTTTTTGAAGTCCCTTCATATAAGGCAATAAAATAACAATAACAATGATAATAATAATTATAGCCAGTACTTACATAGCACTGCTGTAGGTGCTTTACTCATATGTTAACACATCTGATTCTCACAACTACCTTTTGAGGTGAGTACTCTTTTCCCCTTTGTATAAATGAACAGTTACCATGGGGTGGATGAACACTTGCTAGTGGGATGCAGTCTGTACATTTTGTACAGGAATTTAAGAGCAAGTAAAGAGCATAAAGAGCTAAGGCAATCAGGGGAAACTTCATGAAGGAAGTGTCCCTGGAAGGAAAGGAAGGTGAGGTCTGGATAATTTGCACGGGTGGGAAAGGGCAATGAGGACCTTGCAGGTATTAATATAAAGGAAGTTATGTGAGCAGATATGTTGAAATATTAAAATTTGCTCAGTCTGGGAGATAAGCATAAGGATATCTGTTATATTACTTTCTGGACTTTTCTGTATCTTAGAAATAATTACTAATTAATAAAAATTAAAAATGTTTAATCACCGTTTTCTGGAAAAATAAAACATTTTCTTTCCCTTAATTTTTGACCTTTCCATGTACACATGTAAGAAACATTTGCTGATCGGTAGAATGAGTAAATGCCAGTTTGCCTTATCCTTTCTAAAATAAACCTTAGTGTTTTAATTCTATTCACTTTTTTTACTTATTACACTTTGGAGATGTTTTGGCCATATAAATTCACCTGAACCCTTGTCATGATTTCATAATATTGCATAGTATGAATGTTCTATGATTTATTTCTTCATTCCCCCATTAGCCCAATTTTCTGCAACTACAAGCATTGTTCCTAATACTGTGTGTGATTCTGCAAGCCGAGTATCCTTGTGCCAGCCCTTCCATGCATTGTTCAAGTGTTACTCTGGGATAGACACTAGGAAGCAGAATCGCTGGGTCATAAGTCCAATTTTTTCAAAGTAAATTCGCACGTGAACCCGGAACCCAGGCAGTTTCTCCCAGTTACCCAGCCAGGCGCGCGCTGCCCAGATCCGCGCGCCCGCAGGCAGCGGACAGGTTAGGTGCGAGGGCGCAGCGCAATGACCTACTACCCTCTGGGCACGCGCTCGGGCCCCGCCTCGCGGCCCCTTTCATTGAAAAACCCCTACGCGATCACGTGAAAGAGCCGTGCAGGCCGCGTGACGTCACCAAGGTCGGACCAATGGGAGCCTCTGTTTATGTCGAGGTTATCAAATATGCAGGGCTCTCCCCGCCCACCCCCCCGCCGACGCCTGGGCGCTCTCGGGCTCGGGTCTGGGGCGCCGCGGTAGAGCAGGCGGCTGCGCGGCTGGAGCGCCGCGGGGAGGGCTGCGTCGGTTGCTTTCTGCAGCCGCGTCTCCGCCTGCTCCCCTCGCCGTCCCCGGGGCGTTGTGCGTCTCCAGTCTGGGATCCAAGCCGCCGGCCACAGCGGCCGGCCGGATCCGCGTCCCGCCTCAGCGCCCGGAGGACATGCTGGAGAGAGAATGAGCCAGAGAGACACGCTGGTGCATCTGTTTGCCGGGGGGTACGGTCCCTGCGCGCGTGCGGCCTGGGGCCCAGGGTGCTGGGGGGCTCCCGTCGGGCGCGCGAAGGAGCGGGGTCCGGGCGGGGAGGGCGAGCAGCCTCGGGCCCGCAGGGTGAGGGCGTGAGGCCCAGCCCGGGGGCGGGGAGGGGCTCCAGCTCGGGGGAGCAATGGCGTGAGGCCCGGGCCCGGGGTGAGCGGGGGAGGTTCGCGCGAGGAGGGTTGGGGGAATGAAGCCCGGCCGGGGCGTGAGGCTGCGGGCCCGCGGAGCCGGGGTGAGGCGGGGGCCGGATCCGCGCGCCTGAGCGGCGGGCGGGGCTCGGGTCGACGCCAGACTTCGGGGCCCCCGCGGGAGCGGGCCACACGCCGCAGTCCGGCGGTATCCGGGATGCGGGCCGCCGTTCGGGGCCCAGGTCCGAGCCTCGCGTAGCTTGCCTGGCCCGGGGGGGACGGGACGGGAAGTGTGGAGGCCGAGGACAAAATGGGCGCCGGGCCTCCTCCGCCTGCGGTCCTTGCCGCGCGGGCTGGGGCCTCGTCACGTCACTCATGCCCCACCTCGGACCTCGGGCGGCTGATTTCCGGGCCCGGCTCAGGGGCGTTTGGGCACCAGTGGGAAGGGCTTTGATTTTGCTCTCGCTCGTAGTTGCTGTAAGTTGTTTCTAGTTTCTAGCTCGTGGAAAATTTCCTGCCCGAGCCTTTTCAGGTTGTGAGATGTGCAAAGCGGCAATGCCTTTGGGGTCAGATTCTTTTCATGAAAACCAGCCCTCTTGCACATCCCGCTGCATTTCTGTTGCTTAGAGGAGAAAGTGGGGATGGAGAGAGGTCAAATTCTTTGACGATAGTTACTGTGTGTGTACAAAATTAGGGCTAAGCCTAAAAGTCTTCATTCCCTGGCTGCCAGCGTGAGTGCTACAGCTATTTTGCAGAGCTAATTTAGTCTCCTTTTTAGATTTATTCTTTCCAAGTTATTTGGAGTATCATAGCAATATTAAGAGCTAATTTGTAGGATTATGGAGTTTTTATATCAAAAATGGCTATATCGAATTATGCTGAGGCAAACCAACATGTCCTTAAACCACTCCAGTTTATTTTTAGATCAACCACTTTAAAAATGTTAAATACATATGCAGTTCTTTTCACGGTGTCTTGCTTTGATTTGGGACATACGGACTCTATTGCCAACGATGATATTACTTAGGTTGGGACATTCATTCAACAAACAAACATTATAAACACCAGTTGCTGGCCAGCCACTATTCTGGCATAAAAACAGTATTTTCTACTAATCTGTGAGGTCCAGTTTGGGCAATGTTTGCTTTCCATATTTCTGAAATGTTTACTACCAATAAGGCAAATTAAATCATTTTTTAAAAATCCAGTAGCTGTATAGTTGATCTTGAAAAGTTAAGGTGTCTTGACATGCAAATAATTGAATTCCCTCGTGTGATTAAATCTATGGCAACAGCTGAAAGTTAGGAGCCCACACATCTAATCTGGCCACTGTTTTAATTTGGGTGAAAAGTGGACAAACCCTTTGGTTTTATTTGCTTCATCTGTAAAATTAGGAGGTTATACTCTGATTTCTAATGCCCTTCTTTAGCTCCTAACATTTCTATTACTCTACATTCAGAATTCATATATCAAGTTTTGTTAAAACTAGGGCACACATATTTGAAATAACTTAGCTTGATTGCACTAACTTCCGAGTTTGAATTAGGATCATCACTTTATTATTAATACATGTAAATTTAGGCTGTTCTGGTTAGCTTTTTCTTTAAGAACAGGAAGGGAGGGTTTTTGTAGCATCTAAACATAGACCAGAAGCTCCCCCCCCAAAAAGGTTTAGAATATTAAATGAGATACTGATATGTAGGATCTGGTACAAGATAGGTGTTCAGCTGTGTCAATTCCCTTTCTTTGTATCTCATCTTGATTTTATTTTTATATGTGGTTGCATAAGTAATTTTGCTAAAACATGCCTTATCTTTTTATTTATGTTTTGAGACAAGAGTCTTGCTCTGTTGCCCAAGCTAGAGTGCAGTGGTGTCATCATAGCTCACTGTAACCGAAAATTCCTGGACTCAAGCAATCCTCCTGCCTCAGCCTCCCTACTAGCTGGGACTACAGGTCCATGCCACCATGCCTGGCTAATTTTTCTTCTTTTGGCAGAGACTGGGTTTTGTTATGTTGCCCAGGTTGGTTTAGAACTCCTGGCTTCAAGCTATCCTCTTTCCTGGACCTCCGAAAGTACTGGGATTATAGATGTGAGCCACTGAGCCTGGTTCTAGCAGCCATTTTTAGAATGTTCTTAATAAAATACAAAAATTTATTTTTTATCCTGAAACAATTTTGTAAATTGAAAGTTATGAAATTTATTCTTTACTTGAATAATAACCACATAGGGAAAGAGAGAGTAATCTCTCCATAGGCTGTTGTGCCTGGGCTATTTCACGTATATTTGTTGTTTGGATTAAGTGTAGTACATTTTAAAAGAACCAAGAGTAACCTTTTACAGTGGCATCTAATATTAAGTAAGGGTTTTTGGAATATGGAGCCTTTTGGCTGTTTTCCTGATGAATAAAATTTTATATATTAAAGTATATATCAGAATCTCAGATTTTTAGTAGCCTAGTATCTGCATTGTTAAAGCAGGAACGTTTGAAACATACCAGCACTGGACCTTGGTTCTGGGTGATGTACTCACATGCGTAACTCGTGCTTTAAGACACCCTTTGGTCCCATTGTGCTTTTTTTTTTTTTCTGTTTATAAATACGATTTATTGTGCCATGTTTTCACATTACAAGTTGAATTATTTTCTAGCTTTTATTAGTGTTTTCTTATTGTGGTAAAAACATAAAATTTACCATTTTAAAGTGTAGAGTTTAGTGGCATTAAGTACAATCACAGTGTTGTGCAGTCATCACCACTGTCCATTTCCAAAACTTTACCAAAGGGATAAAAACTTTTAGAAAGGTTAATAATTAGAAGTAAATAGGTTGGACAGGAGAGTCAGGCAGCCGGTGGCCTCCCATTATGCTTTTGCCAGAGTTAATATTCAGAGTTTGTAAGGTCATTGGTTAGGTTAATTGAGTTACAGAGGCATATCATAACAGCCTACAAAAAGGATGTAAATATGATTAAATTGTAGCTGTTCCCGTCTATGTAAAGAGATATAAGCAATATGAAATGCATTTTTAAATACTTTTAGGGAATTGTACCTTGTCTTATGTGAGCTGCGTATATCTACCAGGAGGCAGTTCATTTATTTTTTTCTATTTGAAGAAGAGATTGTTTCAGATGGGAGCTATAAACCATCAAACTTTACATGGATGAATTTTTTCTTTGTAGCTTCTATGGCAGTGAAAGAACTTAATATATGTAGTAATATTGCAGATTATCTAAGATTATTTTTGTATCCTGTAATTAATTCATTTCACTTATTAAGTCATATATTTACTAATTCAGTAAGAAACTCCCATTTTGTATAATATTTGTTAAATTATTTCACCTACTTCCTTGTAAGATCAGGGCAGAAGTGCAATACTTAAGGATGTTTATTTCCACTTTGTCATTTTTTATTAGTACCTTATCCTTAATTTTTACCACATTTCCTTCTCTGGCTTAGCCCTTTTGGGCTGCTATAACAAAACACCATAAACTGGGTGGCTTATAAACAACAAACATTTATTTACCACAGTTGTGGAGGCTGAGAAGTTTAAGATTAAGGTACAGGCAGCTTCTGTCTGGTGAGGGTCTGCTTCCTTGTAGATGAAGGACACTTTCTTGCTGTATCCTCGCTGAGTAGAAGGGGCTAGCTAGCTCTCTGGGTCTCTTTTATAAGGGCACTAATAATGCATTTATTAGTTCTTCGTTCTTGTGACCTAATCATCTCCCATGGCCCTGCCTCCTAATACTATCTCCTTGGGTTGAGGAGTAGGATTTCATCATAATGAATTTTGGGCAAGACAAACATTCAGATATTCCCTTTTTTTTTCCTTTCTGAAAATGCATTCTGTCATTCTTACTAGTAAGTTATAAAACCAAGGGGTGTTGCTTATCCCTCCTTAAGTTTGGCTAACATTTTTTAAAAATCTGCTCTTTAGTGATTGATATTTCTTAATTTAATGCCCTAGTTAGTAAATTACAGTAGAGTATTACCTGCAGGCAGAAAAATGGCAAAATATTTTAACCTATATATTTTGCTTTGCTTTATAAAGATATAGACTTTATTTGTCTGATGAAAGAGGTTTGCTTAAAGTTAACAAAAATGAATTTTGTAGTACCTTTTAAAATATACTCAGGACTGCTTCCTTCCTCTCTTGCCAGTCCACCTGTCTTCCTCCGCTGGCCCCCTCCCCGCAGGGAAGACGCCCCAAGTGGTGGTCAGTCTCGGGAGGTGGACTTGGGTCTGGCAGCTGGAAATTGGCGCCGTCTGGGCGCCTTGTTCCTTTCCTCTCGTAGATTCGCCCGATCCTGGCGGGGGTGCGGGGGGGGGGGGGCGACCTGCCTGTTGGGCCCCATTCTCTGAAGCAGCCTCGGAAAGCTAGAAAGCCGGCCTCCTTACCCCGCCTCCCAGAACGACCCCAGCAGGGCCATCCCCTTTGCTGCTGGCCTTGACCCGCACCCATCTCACCCTGGTTGCCGCTGCTTGCAGCTTCCTGGCCCCTCTGGCCCCTGTCAGTAACACTAGGGGCAGAGAGAGGCTCATCATCTTCCATACACCGCCCCCCATTTGTGAGAGATGCGGGTGGGGGCCAGCGTCTCCTTGCTTGGATTTCACGCAGCTAGTTGTTTATTCCACTATCTAGCCTCGAATAAATAAATAAATAAAATATACTCACATCAGTATTGTGGACCTCATCAGAAAATATTTTGTCCATTTATAAATTACCTTGCCTGTTAAAAACAAGTTTCCTGGTCCATACATCCTAAAAAGGTTAACATCTAGGACAAATGTCTAACAATCACAACCTTGGAGTCCTGGTTCATTCACATGACCCAC